GTCCATTCACCCGAATATACAACAGATAATTGTCCTCTTGTTAATTAAGTATAGAAACCACTCCATCTAAACTCAGAAGTCAGTCGGCGCAAGTAAGAATTCTTACGAAATGATCCAATCGTTCGAAAACAATGTTAAATGAGACTATGGGAACGGGTCATTGTTAAGATGGGACCAGAAGATGCACGCGACATTTCCCATACCGTTCTCAGCACGCAATCAAGGTGTCCAGTCACCGACCCTAGTGAGTTTGTTTCCTTTGCATCCCATTGTTTTTCCCTTAACTTCTGGTTTTTGTCATTCATCTGAGATGTCAACCAACATAGCAGTCAGGCAAGTATTCTCTTTAATTAACTTGGCTATTAAACGCCGTCAGTGAAGCGTGCGATGTAAAACCACCGTGGTATAAACACAGAGAAATAATGGCACACGAATTTGTATCCTTATAAGAGAAGATTGTTCTTGGGAGGGTATTTTGCAAGGGGTGCCATTCGAGGCGGCGTTTGACCCCACTACCAACCAACTGCTGACCTTTCTGATCGCTCCTTTCGTAGAATACCTCTGCACAATGCCATTTACCTTACTACCACACTCTCTCGTCTAATATATTCCGCAACAATATTCACGGATTCCCCTATTTTAGGGCCACGTTTTCCCTAAAATAAATCAACCCAATTATCAAACCATACAAAAATCACAATATTATTTTAAATCTGCATTAAAAACATTTAATAATTTCACTTCATTAACTATAGAAGTTATTAAAATCGTCGGAACAAAAAGAATCAACGTGTTTATAATTGAATACAAAACTAAATTTACATAAAAAACAAAAAAGAATTTAAATTTAATAAACAAGAAACAAAGGAAAAAAAAGAAGTAAATTAAATTTTTATAAAATTTCATTTTTAATTATTTTTTTTACAATGTTAAGGTATTTTAATTGCATAATTAATGACCCAGAAAATATATATATATAATTTTTTATGTGGAAAGAAGAAATTCGTTTGACATCTTGATAATCAAAACGTTGGGATAATGACATCGAACTCGGTTTGTCAAGATGAACCTCTGTCAAATTGTCAGATGACCTTGGAATATTTTTCGTGTCAGGGTCAAGAGTGAAGATACGTAAAAGGGCATTCTTACAAGAGAACTGGGTCACAATCTGGCATAACTACTGAAATAAATAGATCAAAACAATCTCCGATATATCTACAGCAAAGAAAACAATGATCTAGACTAGGATATTCAATGAATATTCTAATTATTTAATGCAGTTCGTGCTTTAAAAAAAAAGTAAAAAAAGACACCATTTAATATTAATTCTCGACGTTCGGAATTAGTTTTCTTACGTCACAATTAGAGTAGAAAATAGTTTTCTTATTTTATAAATAATAGAAAATATTATTAATATATCAAAATTTCTGCTCTATATTAAAATATATGACTAAAATTATTTGTTAAACATTAAAAAAAAAACACCTTAATTTGCCATTCAGTTATCATTTAATAAACCGTTTTCGCATACTAAGAGCTGTTTACGAACAAGGTTATCATAGAGTCACGTTGTTTGAGTAATTTATTCTAAGGTTTTTTTTTTATTTTTTCTTTCCTTTTTCACCTCCCAGTAGTTTTTCTAAGGGAGGGATATCGGGTACTATTCAATCATGATTCAAACGTGAATAAAACTGGTTCGTGATCACGACTTCTTTACGTACCGATATACCAGAATTTCCAACGAATTTTCGCTTAAATTTATATTAAAAATAAATAAAATAAATGATAATTAGAAATTTAAAATCACTCACCCGCCTTGACAATAGAGAGAGAGAGAAAGAGAGAAAAAAAAATTAAGATTCAGATAAATCACAGGGGTCAATATACTTGCCAGTATCGACAACATCAGCATATTGTAACAATTAAAATGGGTTGGGTTTTTAATTTCGCATCGTTGAATATGTTTCAGTTTGTTAACTCAAAACAATATTTATGTGCTTCATAGAATATTAAGAAGATTTTTCTAAATTTCGCTACGATGAATTTCATACAATGGGACAGAATAAATAAATTTTTATTATCTGTTTACTTGTGACACAAGCTACAGAATCTGACGTCTTGTTTGATTAATCAAATCAGATTTTTCTCATCGAATCGCTTTTTATCTGAATATTTTCGTGTTTTTCTATGTTATTTATATCGATTTTTTTCATATTTTTTTGTTTTAACCTCTTTCTTTTTCGATATTAAATTAAATTTATTCGAAAAATAACTTTAACTTACCGATAGAACTTCTTTGTTTTGTAGTAGTAGTAGTAGTTGCACGGATAATTAAAAACTTATTGTCCTTATACAATAATAAGTAAATGACGCAATATAAATATATCCAATCAACAAATCTTGATAATGTAAACGTATTAATTTGAATTTATTTATTTATTTTTCATGTGTTTAATATAATCTGTTTATAAGAAAATGGTTAATAGTTGCTTCGAAATTGCTCAATTCCGTACTAAATTTTTGAAATTTAAAGATGGGATTATGTTAAAATTAAAGATTTATTTATGAATTTTTGTTTTAAAAGAAAATAATAATAGTTTTATTACGTTTCTTACAATGTAATAATTAAAATCGAAAGCGTATGCGTTATATAATGTTTAAGCGCCCAAATATCCTCAACTTAACAAAATTTCTTCGTATTTAAAGTGTTACTTTTGCAAAATAATCGAGTAAAACTTCATTAATTTATTAATAAAATCATCGTAGTTATTATTTTTAATTTATAAACATAATTCGTTTATCAGAAAACGACTACAAACATCTACAAAAAGATGATTTCTTTGCAAATTAAACGCTAATAAACCGAAAAATTATTTTATTTTCAAATTAAATTCGAAATATAAATCAAATTTTATAAAAATAAATCAAATTTAAGGCTATTTTTTATACATTTTTTTTTACAAGGAAAAACTCGAAATTTTAAGAGCGCATCCGAATTCGCTTCCATGCAGAAGTCTTCAACAGATGAATCGATTTTATTCATTAATAAAACCATTCTAAAGCATAGAATTGATACAGTACATCAGTACATAAATCTCTTAACGAGATATATATATATGTGTATAATTTTTTGGGGTATAATTTGTCAAATTTTTTCCATTCCTCCCGTATGGACCTCACTCCATTACAACAACTTTGTATCTCAAGTCATTCAAAATAACCAGTTTTTCTTGTCTCACCCACAACTGGAATAAAATTGGTAGACACGCAAGCACAACATAGTCTTATTATCGTTCCCTTTATTTGGTGGCAGCTCTTGACCCGCCTACTTCTGCTTGATATCGAAGCTTTCCCATGTCAAGAGAGAGAAATATATAAAACAAAAAATAATAATAATAATAATAATAAATAAAATAAAAATATGTATATATATCAAGAACTGGTATAGTTATCTTCGGTAGTAAATCTTAAGTTAAATACACTTTGCCACTACAAGGGATTGACAGAAATATTTTAAGTTGTAGAATCATTGTTTAACTGCAGGAAATAGGCGAGGCTTTGCCTATTGTTATGTAATATTTTCGAATTTTTTAACTTAAAAAAATAATCATTTTTTCCCCCTTCATTCGAAATTGTTTAGCTCATTAATTTGATAGATTTCTATAATACGATATAATGAAGGACAAAGATTAGATATTATTTTAAAATATATACATGTGTATGTGTTTGAATATGAAATATTATTATAAACCTATTGTTAAAGAATTATTATTTTTTATTTCCGGATGTCGATCATTAAAATATGAAAAACAAAGTATTATAAGTGCTCACATTGCAGATGTCTGTCATATTCTATAACATTCTATACCAAATGTTCGACAAAGTTTCTTAAATTAAAAAGAAAAAAAAGTTAAACTGCGATAAATATCGACCATTAAATTACCTTATATTTAAAATAATGCTCTAAATTCAATAAATAATGCAAAAAAACACGTCAAACTTTGACATTTTCGTGTTATTGTCCATGCGAATCACGTTTTTTGAGCGCAATTTTTCACGTTTCGACACCTAAATTGCACTTATTTAACGTTTTAACCTATAGAAAAATATGCCCCATTAAATAAAAATCTATAAAATTGGCAAGATCGTGATAAATATTTAATTTTTTCACCAAAAAAAAAAAATAAATTTCCTTTTAAAGATAATAAAATACCACGAAGGATAAGGTGACACTCCATAGGAGATTTTTAAATTAATTATATTCCATTGTTTAATTAGGGGGAAAAGAAATATTACTTTGAACTACTTTTATAAAGTAATTCGTGACTTAAAAAATATATTTTATTTAAATAAAAATCGAATAAATGGTGACATTTATATAATAGTCCGTTTGTTTGTCTGATCGAAATTAATTCCGTTTTCGCACCAGAATAATTTTTAATTCATCCTTGAAATGGGCTAATGAATGCCTTCTATAAGATTTAAATGATAGCATTCAGTAATGAAATAGGATTTTAAATTGTGAGAGTTTTCCTCGTTCTATTCAAATTATTAAAAAAACTAAATTGTTTTTATTGATATAAAAATTGTTAGAGAATTTTTTCTGAGTTTTTGGTCTAAAATTTGCAAAAGCTTGGTAGCAAAAATTGGACCTTTTTTTGTGTAAAATTTGCTAGAAAAATTGGGCGTATCTGTGTAAAATTTCGTTGGAAAAAATTGGGCTTTTTATGTAAAATTTGCTGCAGAAACTAGGCTTTTTTGTGTGAAAATTTAGCTAGAAAAATTGGGCATTTTTACGTAAAACTCGCTAGAAAAAGTGTGCATTTTAAATGTAAAATTTGCTATAGAAATTGGGCTTTTTGTGTAAATTTAGTTAGAAAAATTGGGCATTTTTATATAAAATTTGATATAAAAAATTGAGATTATCTCGACAAAAATACAATTAATTAAAAAAATTTACATTTTTGGAGTAAAACTTGGTATAAAAATTTTGAATTTTATATTATAAAGACGAGTTAAAAGTTAGATTTAACGGAATAAAAATTATTTTTAAAAAATTCTGGTATAAAAAATTAGTTTTAAAAAAAGATTTAAATAATTCTAGCATAAAAATCTGGATATGGTCCTCATAAAATTTACCATAAAATACCTAAAATAATCCCGTCTCATCGAATCCATTCGCTCTCCATCTTCTCTAAGTGGAAATTAAAATATCAACAGTAACCATTGTTAAATTTTAGCATTAATTTAATCGTTCCGCATCAATTTTTGACTAAGTTCAACGTTTATATACGCATTAATAATGGAAACAATGGACATTAACATTATCATTACGAGATATTTCAATAAAGCAAAGAGTTAATTTCGTGTGGAATTATCTTAAAGATCAATTTGAAACATCACCTTTAGATTCATTTAAAATTTCGAGTAAAATACTATATATATATATATACATTTTTTCTTTTGTTCTTGATGAAAATTGAGATCAATTTAAGTGAAGAATAAGTTTTATCTAGTCGAAATGATCTCTATCCAATTATCTGTCATTTTATTCCTGGCAAAACCTATTAGATAGGACTTTGTGCAATGTAGTAGATCTGTAGCTAAATGTACTATTATTTAACGTGAATCTTGTGTTGAAAACAGGTTGGAGAATAAAATCAGAGGGTACAAAATGCCGAGATATGAATTATTTGTCTGAAAACTATAATTATGATTTTGTGTAGCAGACTGTGCATCCCTAGAGGAGAGAGAGAGACTGAACTGTTCTCTCTCTCTCTCTCTCTCTGCAAAGATTTAGAGCAGCTATTTTAAGGTGCAATGACTTTATTCTTAGACATCTGTATTATTTTTTTAATAAAAAAATCGATTAATGGTTTTATAAATCGAATACAAAATTTTATGTATATTCTCCCCACGTTTAATTGTAATTAAATTATGAAGAGAGCTCTCAGACGTTTCGAGTTCCGGGGTGTTTTCTTTCTTTTTTTTTTTTGGCCATTTTCTGTGCCTTAAAACGTGTCAAAAAATACCCTGACCCGAAATAGGAAATTGTGAATCTAAGAAGTTTTACAAATAGAACCTTTAAAATTAACTTTTAGAACAGAGGCAACGTTATAGTGTTGCTTAGAATTTATTTTTTTTATAAACAAGTCTCAAAGATAGTAACTCTAATTTAGATTCTTTAAATTCCGTCTTTGTTTTTGTCATCGAAACTAATTTTTGACATTAATTATGCCTGTAACTTATAAAGAAAACGTCTTATGGCTCTTTATCCTATCGTCGTATCATCGTCCTGACATTAATCGTCAATAAGAAATCATTAGATTTGGAGATTTAAAGGTGGTTCTAAAGCCGTTTGACATAATTAAAATCTCCAATTTTAATTTTTCGTCGCTATCTGTAACTTAGAAAACAAGGCAGAGCTTCACTCTTTTAATATATCATTACCTCGTGAGTAGTCTTCATTAAAAAAAAAAAACTTTCTTTTAAGCAAATACGTCTTAAAAGTAGCTCTAAAACTGCTCGATGACATTAAAATTAACTAGAATTTTAATTTTTGACACTAATTATGCTTGCAACTTACTAAAGAAACCTCTTACAGATCTTCATTCTATCATCTTTAAGCTAATCTTCAATAAATAATGATTAAAAAAATCTTTTTTGTAAGCAAAGCAATGCTTTAAAATGTATTGAAACTATAAATTTTGATGTTAATTATATTGCAACTTAAAGTCTCTTACAGATCTTCACCCTTTCATCTCGAAACTAATCTTAAAATACATTTAAAATCAGTTCTGAAGTTGCTTGGCACCACTAAAACCCATCAGAATTTTAATTTTTGTAACTAATTACAACAGCAACTTACAAAGAAAGTATCTTTATCATCATACAGAAACTAATCATCCCCGTTTCGAGCTATGTATACGTAACTCCGAAGGTGTTCGGTACCACTAAAATTCGCCAATTTCATTACATTCCATGTAGATGATAAACAGAAAATAAACCCCTGTAGGCAGCATATTATCATCCACATTAAAATGATAATTCTTTCAAGAACTATGTGGGTTACGGAATAATTTGTCCTACATACCAACGCCCCAGGATACTCGAGAAGGGAAGAAAATAATGAGAGGTAAAAAAATTTATTAGAACTTGTTACAAGGCACAGTATATTATAAAGCAGGAGCAATTATCGATAGTCGAGAACCAACCACATATCAAAAGCGTACTTAAGAGTAGTCCCGGAGAATGGTCAGTAATTATTGTAGTTTATGAATACCTTGGAGGAATATTACGTTTGTGGATGATACCTTGATATCTGTAGTTAATTCTAAGCTACGAATTACATTTTTGTTTCATTCCCTCGTAACGTGGTTACGTTACTTTGTATCATATATCAAACTTCAATAACCGCTGCTACACACGCAAAAAATAAAAAAGAAACTGTGTTTTTAACTTTAATTTTGAATAAATCGGATACTTTTCTATATATTTTCGTTAAAAAATCTTAAAAATTTCAATTAAAATTACAAGAGAACGCGTTTTAATTAAGGGTGTAACTCTATGGTGTAAATGGGAGTGACGTGTCTTTAAATATGGCGCCAACTAAACGATTTAAAATTAAATTTAGCTTGTATATATAAATTACGACGTCGTAACGTCTAATTTTCTTATAAAATAAGTTATTTGGGAGGTTATTTTAGCATGAATTTCGTAGAAACCGCAAATGCTAATGCGTTAATCATCAGCTTGAACGGCTTGAAAATTGCTGTCTATTAAACCAAGCTTACTGAATATTGTTTCGAAATCTTTACAAAATGTTAGAAAATATATTCAAAAATAAAGAGAAAAGTGGAATTTATTCTCAGTTTAATTTATTTTAAAACAAAAATCTAGTTATAGACAGAGAGGAAGATGGAGAGAGGGAGGAGAGTGAGAGAGAGGGGGGAAAAAGAATCTAAGTAATCCATTTGAAATTCGTCACAGAATTCTACAAGAAAATAAAATATGGAGAAGAATTCATTTAGAAGAATATTTCTTATTTAATCTAGTTTACGATTTTGTACGCTTTTGTACGCTTTTCATTTCGAAAATACGAAAATAAGAAGGGAAAAATATCTCAGCATCTCTCCTTTCAACTGCACGAAAATCATTCTTTAAAATCTATTTTTACTGACTTTCATAATTAATTTAGAGTTCGATGCTTTTAAAATTAAATTCCAGAAATTATTCATTTATATATCTCACGCTAGATTAAATATATTTATAATATATATTTTTTTTTTTTTGGAAATTAAAAATCAAAAGGAGGGGAGAGAACATAAATGCGTTCGACACACCTCGATGTAGGTCATGTATGACGTTCCTGACAGGAAACACTAATATGGCAAATTTAATGTCTTTAATGGTTTTTTAGATCTGAAAAGATAACAAACACTACCAATAAACTCAAGTATTTCAAGGTCCCTAAAATACAATAGGGTGAAGTAAGTTGGCCAAGATGTTAGAGAGATATGGATTGCCTTGTTTTTACCGAAATATAACATAGATTAAGGTCTGTATCGAGTTGAAATTACGAGTTTAAAATAAATACTTAATTAGTTTTCTAGAAATCCTGGTTCCATAGTGAGAACATTTACCACGATATCGTTATTTAACATCTAAAAATATTATATTAAGCAATTAAATGATGGGAAATAATGAGGCATGTTGTTTAGGAAACCGTTTCAAAAAACACCTTGGTTTAAGATTAAAATCGTAAATATAATTAGATATTTTAGCATTCTGTTTGTGTTTTTTAAGTATAATTAATAATACGTGACGTGTAAAATGATTTTTTTTTAAATAAAAGAAATGGGCGTAAAATTGTGGCATCTTACCTGATGAGAAATTCTGCAATGGTACGTTCTTCGTTATGGATTCCACGACGTCGTTTAAGCCGTACATTCCTAACAATTCCTTCATCGTTGTTTCTGCATAATCCTTCATCATAGAAGCATCTGGCACTTCTCGAACAGTTTTATTGGGGCTGGTAGACTCGCGTAGATTAGTTGATAAATCCATAGCAGCACCCTCCTGATCCGTTTCGCTGTCTCTCCTCCATGTCAAATCGACTGGTAGATTAGGATTAGCGTATTGCCCTTCACTTAAATCTAAGGGCTGATCACCTAAAGACGATTTAAATCCCTGAATGCCCACCGGAGCAGTTTGAACTCTAGCAGGGCTCTCGATCGATGCCACGGATTCTGGGCTCGATGGTGGTTTATCATCCTCGTAATAGTCTATCAATAATTCGTTCTCTCCATCGCTATCTTGGCATTGATATACAATATTTCTGGGTTGAAAGTTTTTTCTTTTATTTTTAACCGGGTATTTTTGATGCTCGTACGAAGGGGAACAGTTCAATTTTTCTTTGCAATGATCGGAATTCGAATCACTATATTCGTCCATTTTATCTTTTTGATCGTCGATGGTTAAAGTACCATTAATGGTATATTCCGTATCATCTTGAGTATCGTAATCGTCGCTCGTTACCATTTCGTCTTCCTGTTTTTTAAGTTTGTCGCAAATTGTACTTAGTTTAAAGGCACATGGTTTATTGTCAGCAGATGAGGTCATAATGATCGGTGTACCTCGTCACTAAGCGATGAGGCATTTAGTTGATGGGGTTCACCTATTAAAATATACATAAAATAATATAATAAATATATTATTTCGTCTTAAAATTCATCAACTTTTCGTTAACTTTATCTTAAATCAATAACATTTATCTCGTTCGCTCAATAATATAACCGATAAAACAGTAAAAAAAAAAAAAACACGTCTCTACGTGTATATAAATATATTTTCTTTCATAAAAAATAATAATAATATATAACAACAATTAAAGCTATAATCATGTAAATAAAATAAGTTGGATGATCTTTGTGATATCTTCAGATTAAAAATAAATACCAAAAAAACTTGTCGATTAGAATCTGTCTTAACCTGTCAATCAGAATTTAAGTCATTCAATTTATTAATCACACATTTTAAGTGGGTTGTCTATCTATATAAACGAGACTAAGTCGCAAAGTTAACACGAATCGTCGTCACCATTCTTCCCCCCATTTCTTTGATACATACCTACATGTATGCCTTGTAGGGGGTGCATTGCTACCAACAGTGTTATCTGTATCTCTAAGACGTTGTGAATCACTCTAGAGTAGTCAAGTACTGTCAGACTAACACTTTATTACCTCACTACTTCTTGTCCTTGCTTGACAGCGAATTCATTCATTGGCCATGCCTAAGGCAATGAAGATCTAAGATGAGTACTACTAATAATATTAGTCTAGTGATCAAAAACTTTGCTACTATAACAAACAAACGAGGCTAATCTATGAGAAACTTGCCTTTATACTCACATCTACAGCCTTTTTCTCTTACTTTTTTTTTAATGGCATTGTTTGTTGTTTTATCATTGAGCCTGAGATCCCAACGTCACGATTTTCTTAAGATTTATACATAAATATCATTTATCCGACTATATAATATATTTTAATACATAAATAACGCAGAATTTAAATTATTTTATACATATTAAAAATATTAAAAAATCCATTTTTTTTAAACTCGTTCGTAAGACAGAATCCAACAATAAAATTTCCCAAAGCGTAGATTATCTTAAAGACGATTCTCGAGGAATTACAAACTTATTTATTTGTCTACAAAATGGGTAAACGTGAGAACATTTTAACGTTAAATTAAGCCCGGTTTTTATCATAGAAAGCAGCATAAGCATGGTATAAAACCGAAAGTTTTGTGGGGATGAAAATGCCAATTTTTCGATTTTGTTTGAAAGAGATCGGAGTAGACATCGAGGAATTTGGGCGAGTCCCCCGAACGACCCCCAAACCAGCTTTCCCCTTTTTTCTAATTAGCATAATAATATGACTGGAAACAGCAATGCAATGACTCACATAATAGTGTATTAATAATGGGTCGCTGGAAATTGGTTTGGAGGAAAGTCTTTGTTATCCCCATTTCAGAAAATGGACACCTCTATGAAATTTTTTTTAATTTTTTTTTTTCTACTCCTCTTTCTCTCTGCCTCTCCTTTTCTACCAACCCAGAATTGTGTAAAGTTTATTAGATAATTTCTATAAAAACCATTTCCATTGTTCTATGATAAGAGTAGAAAAATAAAATTATCACCTATAGAATCGTGAGAAAGTGGAACTAAATAAAATGGAAAAAAATTTACTTTCCAAAAAATCGACCGTCTGCTTTAACTAAATGAAAATAACCTTGTTTAAAAACGAATAAAGATCTAATTTTTGTGATTTTTAGAAGAGAAAAAAGAAGAAAAAGCTCTGTAAAAATTAATAAAAGCCCAATTCTTTTCCAATTTTTAGAAGAAAAAAATCAGAAAAATCCCTATAAAATTAATAAAAATACAATTCTTTTCCAATTTTTANGGCTTTGTTAGATTTATAGGGAGACAGATGGCAAATATAATGGCAGGTGAAAATCATTCCATCTTACTCTTCCCTTGGGAAATAAAATTACACGTGACTCACCGGACAACAATTTTCTATGCTTTTCTAAAATTTAAAGAATTTCTTTTTTATTTTTTTTATTATTTTTTTGCCTGGCAACGTTAAAAAATTCGAAATTATTTTTATTTTTATTCGCCTGACAACACTTAAAAAGACGTTGCGCTTTGTCGCCATCTGGTGTATAGACGACAAACTACTAATTTGACCGTTTATTTATCTTTATTTACATCAATCACGTATACAAAAAGAGAGGGGAAAAAATAATAACAAATAATGATAATTATCCTTCAATATTATATAAAACTAGAAAAGAGAATTAAACAAAAGAAAATAATCCTTATAATAAGCGTTATGATATGTGTCGAGAGCGGTCGTGATCATATTCACTTGTCAATGATTAACAATTGAATAGGCCTTATTAAGAAAGAAGACATGATAGACAATCACCAATCGGTATCATTGTTGATCAAATCTGTTCACTGCCCTTTTGGTTTAGTAAAGAAAGGGATGGGAAAATGTCCTTATGGAATTTCACAGCACCACCCAAATGACAGTTTAGCGCCATGGAAGACGAAAAAAAAAGCTAGAAAACCTGGAAAAAAAACGTGCCAAACGGAAGCAAGGCATTGGTTCCCACACAAATTAATGTCTGACTTTAAGTACTTATCGGACAAACTCACGGGTTCATCACGCAATCAGTCTGAGTCACTTTACTCAATTTTGTTTTGAAAATCTCCTGCCATTTTCTTTTTTTTTCGTTGGCTTATTGTCTACAATTTTTAATTGGTTTCCTTACAAAAGCCATTTTGTCTCCAAATCTTTTGTTACTCATCCATTTTTACACCCATTTTTTTTTTTTTTTTAATATAATTCTAGTTAAAGCTTGATTAAAATTCATTTTCTTCTTCTCCCTTCTTCTTCTTCTCCTCCATTTTTTTTTCTTCTTCATTACTTTTAATTATCATTTTCATCAATTTTAACTGTCAGACCATCAATAATTTAATACTTAATCATCAATTTTTATATATACAATAATAAACAGAGATGAATCTTCACCCTAGGAATACAAAATTGAGTAGAAAAAAAGTCATTTTGGCGGGGGGGAGTGGAAAAAACGGCGGAGGAAAAAAAAAGGCCATTTCGTAATAATCTAGATAAATATTTACATCGAGCGGTGGGGGCGTAACGGAATAAGTAAAAAAATCATCAATCTATCGTCTTCATCAACGTGTATCATCAATTAAAAACGACGTGGAATCGCTAGAAAACGAGTTTAACAAAGTAAAAGTCCCGGGGTCGGCCGACACCCAACGTATCTACTTCCAAAAATATCAATATGAACTAGACCGCTTCTCATCAATACCAATATGGAATGTAGTCCAACCAGCTCGACTCGCTTGCCCCACCCCGATTATACGATTTTTTTTTTTAAAACATTATTTTTAAAACTTTCCTGGCGCAAAAATAAGGGTGCAAAGTATTACGTTAAAGGGGGATAGAGTACATACAAAAATAAATATGCTAAGGCATTTTTTCGTTACGTTAAAGGGGGTAGAGCACGCCGAAAAATAAAGGTGTAAAGAATTTCTTTTCGTTACGTTAAAGGGGGTAGAGTACCTTTTTTTTTATTTTTTTAAAGCGATTCCGTTCATTATTGCATGACTTTAAAAATTATTTCGTGTCATTAAATCGTGACAGTTCTGAGCAGTGACGCAGAACATATAACCTCTAGTAAGTAACCTGTATGTTGCATATAAACTGCAATCTAGTTATACGAATTCAATTGGTTTAAAATAGATGTCTTTGTACCTCTAACGACATCGTTAGATGGTCAGAGTGCTTATCTTAAAAATTCCACTAACATTAAAAACAAGTTTGTACTGTTCCCACAATCTTTGTTCCTAAATATAACTAAAAGTTTAGTTTGTATCTTTAGTTAAGTGAGGTTTTTTTTTTCTTTTTCTTCTCTAATTTTTTATGTATTTTTTTAAGAATTTATAACAACCTTTCTCTCGTTGGACACATTATGTCGTGGGAGATATAATAGACATTTTATGTCTGGGAAAGGCCACTTGGGAATTGATACTGCTTCCGTTGTTCGTTAAAGAATCTTATGTTTTCTCTTAATTTTTTTTACCTAAAATAAATTAGGATAATTATAAAAAAAAGAATTAAAATTAAGGCGTATAAATCATGCTTTGTTCTAATCTTCATCCCGGTTATCTTTCTTATCGATCAGGGATGCTGCGTGGATGCTGGGATGCCAAACGTGGGATTATATATATAAAACTTAATAAATCAAGGGAGAAAATGAAAATTAACTAATTATCTGTAATTTAAGGTAGATAATAACTTAACCAATTTAAAAATAAACAATATTAATCGAACCAGACCCGTGTATAGAGAGTTAATTAGAATTTAAAGTGGATTTTTTGATCAGATTGAAAGCTTGGAATTAATTTAAATTTTGATCTTGTAACTTGTAACTCGATTTTTTTTATATGTATATAATTTAATAACGAATATGGATCTAAACGAAGAATTATATCTTTGGGCTAAGATTAATCATGCTTAGTATGAAGTTTGCTTGAAGATTTTCAAGTTTTAAGCCATAGATGCGCTTTTATAATTAAACTATAAGCTTATACACTCGACAACAACTCACGAAACGTAATTTATAACCTTTAATGCCTTAATTTTCAATTCATAACCTAACCTAAGCTTCATTAACCTTATCATTTAACCTTAAATTGTGAATTTAGGTATTAATTGAAGCTCATTTTATGTGTGAAATTTTAAAAATTATCATTGGATAACTTGTTTATTGTAAAATATCCGTCGTTAATTTTTATGGTTTCAAAAAACCGTACATAATTTCGTTTCATGTTGGAAAAAAAATGGCTCTGAAAACTCATTTAAATATTTCTTTTTTTCTTTTTTTAATATCTCGGTCATAAATAATCAATAATTGGCTATCACTCAGCTGAATGTATAAATTGTTAATTATAATTAAATTAACAACAAATTCCTTCTAGTTATTAAAAATCTTTTGAAGGACACAAAGTATAGGTAGATCGATAGAAAATTTCTTATCTGTGCCTATTTTTTTATGTTTTTATAAAAATTAAACAAC